CTGGCAAGGGGGCTACAACTACAACAAGATGAACATATTTGACCTCGATTTAATTGTAATACACGTTTCAAAATGATGCCGAAGTAACAACACACTGATACCGGTTAGTAACAACCATGAATTAATGCTTTGACAAGTCTGCAGACAGACGGCAGGGGAAAAACCTTTTGAAATGCGTGTTTTCTGAATGGAGATCGGCTAAGCTAACGCAGTATATGCTCCGACCGTCCACACTCACCGCCGCAGTAAGCTGATCTCTTGAAAAGGTCAAAAGTCAGGAGGACTTTGTAACAACAGCAAAGTGTGTATGTACGGATAAATATTTAATAACACGGACAAACTGTTCTGGACGGAGGATTTATCAGTGTGTGAGTGTGTGTGTGTGTGTGAGTGTGTGTGTGTGTTTGTGTGTGTGTGTGTGTGTGTGTGTGTGTGTGTGTGTGTGTGTGTGTGTGTGTGTGTGTGTGTGTGTGTGTGTGTGTGTGTGTGTGTGTGTGTGTGCACGAATGATTAAGAAGTTATTGAAGAAATTGATTCATTATTGATAAGATTATGAAAGACGCTGATTGGATTATTCATGAGACCAGATAATAAAACTGTCTTTAGGATTTCTGAAATTATTCACATATTTATTTTTAAGGGACTCTTTAAATGTATTTTGATGATATTTTTTTTAAGAATTTTCGCATATTATCAGAAATTCATCTAATATTTTTGGGAACATTTGTCTTTCGGGTTATTTTCAGATGTATTCAAATATTTTAGGATATCTTTTAATGGACTCTTTACATTTATTTTTAATGATTTATTTCCAGACATTTACCACATATTTTCTCAAATTATTTACACATTTTTTATATATCTTTTGGGGTATTTTTCAAACATTTTTGGATAGTTTTAAAATACCTAAAAATTTTTATTTCTATGACAATTTCTTTGACTTTTTTCACATATTATCAGATATTAATCTAATATTTTTGGGAAGTGTTTTATTCATCTTTCGGGTTATTTTCTGATTTATTCAAATATTTTAGGATATCTTTTAATGGACTTTTTACATTTATTTTTTATGATTTCTTTCCAGACATTTTCCACATATTTGCTGAAATTATTCACATATTTTTGGGACATTTTTTATATATCTTTTGGGGTATCTTTCTGAATTATTCAAATATTTTTGGATAGTTTTAAAAGACTTTATAAATATATTCTTATGACACTTTTTTAAGACTGTTTTCACATATTATCAGAAATTAATCTAATGTTTTTGGGACATTTTTTATTCATCTTTTGGGTTATTTTCTGAAATTATTCAAATATTTTTCGGGTATTTTTCTGAATTTATTGAATTATTTTAGGATATATTTAATGGACTTTTTAAATGTATTTTTATGATTTATTTTCCAGACATTTACCACATATTTTCTGAAATTATTTACATATTTTTTATATTCGTTTTGGGGTATTTTTCTGAATTATTCAAATATTTTAGGATATTTTTAAGGGACTATTTAAATCTATTTTTATTACACTTTTTCTGAATTCTTTCACATTTTATCAGAAATGAATCTAATATTTTTGGGAAATGTTTTATTAATCTTTTGAAATTTATTTTCCAGACATTTACCACATATTTTTGCTTCCTTCTGCAGGTAACGGGGAGACGCGGCTTGGCGGCGGTCTCGTTCAGGATCCGAAAATAAATTGTGCCAGGGGTTGCCGAACCCTGCTGTAGATGATCTAATGGAAATAATTGGGCAATAACTCAATCTAAATCTGACCGGTTAAGCAAGTTCAACACTAATACCTAAACATTTGGATAAAATGATTAATATGTTAAACAGCTTTAGAAAGCTTGAAGACATTTTTTGTTATGTTATTCCTTCGATAAATGGTTACATGACAATTTGACCTATTTCAAAATGTTTGATTTTTGATAAGGTAGTATTTTATGTACTTCTTATACTTTGTAATATATTTTTAACAATGTATGGGAGTTTAACTCTAAGGTGCCAAACTAAGCATGTGTGAGGATGGAGAGTGACAGAGCATTTAGGTAACATAAGAAATGGTAACAGACACACAGGATGAAAAGGAACTTTTCAAAAATTCCCATTTAGTCTTACAAGAAGTTTGACCAACGTTAACTTTAAATACCAACTTCTGATTGATGATTAAGAATAATCAAGGGGAGAATTGTGATGGCAATTATGGTATTAAAGCTTAATACAATGTAATCCTAATGAAATGTAACTGCTGATGCCTGGAAATGGCATATCAATGTGTGTGTGATAACAGATGTCTTTGGAAGGGGGTTTTATGACACTACAGGAAGAGAGGATGAGTGGAAGGCGGGGTTATCTGTATATCCCATTGTTCTTTGTAGGATGTGAGTTTTTGCATACAGTACTAGGCCATGGGGCGATCACCTGGCCTCACATGATGCTGTGTTGTCATGTGAATTATCTTTGATGTCTTCCTATATGAAGGGTCTGTGTCACAGAGAACAGTACGCTCTCTTTGGTGGACGCAGGCATTAAAACGAAGATCTCAAAAATACTGTATATCGATATTGTGTTTCTTTGCATATTTGCCTAACTCATCATTTACTCTACACCGCAGCTGATTTTAAGTTGCTTCGACACAGGTTTAAAAAAAGTACACTAAACAGGTAAATACACTATTTAAAAAATATATAAACATGAAAAAATAGAAGAATGAATATGTAGATAAATGTAAAAATACAAAGATATTTCTAAATATAAAGACAAAGAACAGAACGCAAAATTATCAGTATTTGTTCAGTTTTTTTCTGTGTATCCATATCATTTTTTTTTAAATATGTGTGGTCAGCGTCCAAATGTTCATTGTTAATCTGTGTGATTGTATGAAAAACAGTGATCTTGTAATCACGAATACAATCTTCTCCAGTTTCTGTCAGTGAACCAAATACATCACACATGTGGTCCTGCACAGTGCAGTTGGTGCCCTCTATTGGTTACTATCCTTAATATACGTATTGCAACAAGGAGGTGAACAGTTTGATCAACTTCTTCCAAGCATGTAGGTGGAACCACAATAAACAAAGAATACACAATTCCGTTTTTTTTGCTTTTTATTTCTGCTTTTACTCTAGTTGTTAGTTTATTTACTACATTTACACAATGTCCATATGGCCTGGGGAAGGGCCAGTAGCAGAAGGGGGGACCTGAAACGGACGGCCTGGGAAGGGCCAGTGGCAGAAGGGGGGACCTGACACGGACGGCCTGGAAAGGGCCAGTGGCAGAAGGGGGGACCTGACAAGGACGGCCTGGAAAGGGCCAGTGGCAGAAGGGGGGACCTGACACGGACGGCCTGGAAAGGGCCAGTGGCAGAAGGGGGGACCTGACACGGACGGCCTGGAAAGGGCCAGTGGCAGAAGGGGGGACCTGACACGGACGGCCTGGGAAGGGCCAGTGGCAGAAGGGGGGAGCTGACACGGACAGCCTGGGAAGGGCCAGTGGCAGAAGGGGGGACCTGACACGGAAGGCCTGGGAAGGGCCAGTGGCAGAAGGGGGGACCTGACACGGACGGCCTGGGAAGGGCCAGTGGCAGAAGGGGGGACCTGACACGGACGGCCTGGAAAGGGACAGTGGCAGAAGGGGGGACCTGACACGGAAGGCCTGGGAAGGGCCAGTGGCAGAAGGGGGGAGCTGACACGGACAGCCTGGGAAGGGCCAGTGGCAGAAGGGGGGACCTGACACGGACGGCCTGGAAAGGGCCAGTGGCAGAAGGGGGGACCTGACACGGACGGCCTGGGAAGGGCCAGTGGCAGAAGGGGGGAGCTGACACGGACAGCCTGGGAAGGGCCAGTGGCAGAAGGGGGGACCTGACACGGAAGGCCTGGGAAGGGCCAGTGGCAGAAGGGGGGACCTGACACGGACGGCCTGGGAAGGGCCAGTGGCAGAAGGGGGGACCTGACACGGACGGCCTGGAAAGGGCCAGTGGCAGAAGGGGGGACCTGACACGGAAGGCCTGGAAAGGGCCAGTGGCAGAAGGGGGGACCTGAAACGGACGGCCTGGGAAGGGCCAGTGGCAGAAGGGGGGAGCTGACACGGACGGCCTGGACAGGGCCAGTGGCAGAAGGGGGGACCTGACACGGAAGGCCTGGAAAGGGCCAGTGGCAGAAGGAGGGACCTGAAACGGACGGCCTGGGAAGGGCCAGTGGCAGAAGGGGGGACCTGACACGGACGGCCTGGGAAGGGCCAGTGGCAGAAGGGGGGACCTGACACGGACGGCCTGGAAAGGGCCAGTGGCAGAAGGGGGGACCTGACACGGACGGCCTGGGAAGGGCCAGTAGCAGAAGGGGGGACCTGACACGGACGGCCTGGGAAGGGCCAGTAGCTGAGCGGGTGACCTCCCCCGGGAACAAAGAAGATGAACCAACACAGAACAAGGGACACACACAGGACTTATCACAGACACAAGACACACTGGGGAGGGCATGCAAAAACAACACGGGGGTAGCAGTTGAAAATAATCTGACAATAACACAAGCAGGAAACAAAGATACAGGAAGTAGAACAAATAAGACAGGAAACAGAAATAACTTTAGGTTTGTGACATGAAATGGGCAAATGAAAAGTGTAACTGGGGTGAAAAGGGTGTTACCTTGAAACACTTAATATTATTTGGTCATAAGTCAGAGAGAAAATGCTCAGTAGGTTTGTGTTGGTGTGCAAGAAAAGCACAGAGTAACATTTAGAAGTGGCTGAGCGGTGTTCAAGTGAGCACTGACCCACTACGAGAACTGTAAGTGTCAGTCTGTAAGATTGTGCTAACTTTGTCTAAAAGTTGGTTAATGTGCATCATGTGCAGACCAATGGACTCCAAGTAGTTTGTGAAAAAAGTATTAACAGGGAGAGGGAGCAGACAGAAGAAAAAGAACACTTCAGTTTTTACATTTTACATATTTATTTATTTTGTTTTATTAATCGTATATGGAGCACAACACATACGAAAATAGGGAATCATAACAATTTGAAATTATTTAGATTTTCAAAGCATTTTCCCACAAATGTCAGACTTAATAAGTTGTGATATAATTGAACCCCGGTAAAAGTAATTGTACATATTCAAAGGTGCAGAGATGCAGATAAAGAGAATAGTATAAGACGTTGCAGGCTTTCAAGTCATGTGACTTTTTGTTATGTATCTGTGTAACACAGATGACCCAAAATGCAGCCAAGTACAAAGCAATTACTGATTTGACAACGAGAGCTAATTAAAACTCTGATACCTTTAACCCTGATGATTCATTATTGAGAGCCACTACTCACTCATTTCTTGTTTTGGCTAACTTGCATCTTGATGACAGGTTGGTAAGAATCTGACATTGTTGCCATGATGGTTATGTGATCCCCCACATAACACAGAGAGGAGCCATCCGGTATACGTCTCCTAAACGTGGTTTGTTCGCCATAGTACATCTCTTCATAAAGACCAACTTCACACGCTCTTCTCAGATTAAAAACTCCCACTGCGTACAAGTTGGAGTAGAAGTTGAAATTAAAGGGCGCAGAAAACATGACAGCTATTTTCTCAGCTGTCTGATTTGTATCCTCGTTCAGGAGATCGTAGGTAAGGAGGCCAACACATCCTGTAGCTGCGTCTGCATACTTGGAGAACAGTGCACTCCCAGAGGCTCCAGGGGCAATAGTCGATGGAAAAGGTGTGGCACAGTTTCCACTATAAATGTATGTCCTGTTCATGGGGGGGGGGAGAAAAACTTTTATTATCAGAGAATATTTATGGAGAACTTATTTACTTGATGAAAGATTTCAGACACCTTGGGTTGACAAATGTGTAGGTTGGACATTCATTCACAATCTCAATGTCGCACTGTCGGAATGTTGATCCTGCAGCACCCATACCCTTAAAATGAGAGATTATTGTAACGTTAGACTCTGCACAGCTCTCCCGTACACCATCAACCAGATTAAGAGATGGATGTTATATTAAAACCTTTTCAGGAACAGATTTCATTTGAATTACACAAACGGTGAAAAAACATAGCATCATAGTAAACGGTGTATGTTGTGTTTCGTGTGTCATATATCTGCCTCTGAAAGCTTTAAATCCACCTTGGCCATGACTTTGACACATGCTTTGCCTGGATGTATAAATGCTTTGGTGCTTAGGCATGTGAATGTACAGCATGAAGTGAAGTGCCACATGACATACTTGTTTGTGGGTGTAAATATCGAAATAGCAAAAAAACAACTATTCACACCCATGTGCAACTATACAGAGCTTTTTCAATACAAAACATATGAGTTATGTATTATATTAACATTAACACAAACAAGTGCCCTCACTCTTACCGATACACCGAGGGTGACATGACTCCAAGCACCAAGCAACATGAAGTTAACCAGAGGATAATTTAAATATATATATGACCTGAAGTAATACATTACATTGAACATTTTACATATATGTGTATTTTTGTATTAAGAGTTAATAAGTAGGTGCGTTTTAAAATGCTAGATTTTAGAGCAGAGTGTTAGGAACGTGACACAAGTGTGTCAATATTATTTTAATTTCAGTCACATAGTTTCTTTATTCTGAAACACAAGTCAAAAACATTATCTCTTTGTTGTCTCTATTCTTATGAGTCTGTCCATCCAGCCATTTCATTCCTGTGAAGGCTATATCTCAGGAGAACGTGAGGAATTCATTCAAGTCTTGCACAATCTTCCACTTGGACTCAAGGATGAATCCATTTCTGTCACATGTTTGACCTTTGATAGTGGTCAAGAGGCCAAAAGTCTCTGTGACCTCACAAAACACGATTTTGTGGCCGTAACAAGAATTATTATGTTAGCTATGACACTTTGTGACTCAACTTTCTGATAGGATAAAATTATGAATCGATGACATGTTGGACAGACCAATAATCGATAATCGAACCGAAGTTATCGATAATTGCCCAGTATATTAAATAAATACAAACGGACACGTATCAATATAAGTCAGATAATATAGACGAGGTCAATCATGGAAGAAGTCTGACATTTAATGCCTGATATATAAGTAATAGTAATAATAAATATATAGCTGATATTAGATAACTGATGTATAAGGCTCGATGTTTCTGAAAATAAGAACACCGTTAACGGCGTTCTATTTCAGTAAAAGGGGGAAAAGGATGGGATATACATCAGACAATATGTATGTGAGATTATTACGTTTTTAGGAGAAATTTATCAATTTAAAATACTAGTTATGGTATTTTTTGTTTTGTTTTATTTGTTGCTTTTAAGAGAAATTGATACATTTAAAATAATCTAGCTTTGGTTATTTTTTGTTTTATTTTTATTTTTGTTCTATTTTTGATTTTTATTTTGATTTTTGATTTTGATTTTTGATTTTAATTTTTTGAGATGATTTCAAAACCATATTTCCAGCAACTTAAGGGCTTGGTATGAGACTTCTCCACACAGGCTGCTGACGTCAAAAGGGGGACCCGAGAAACACAAGGCCAACACAGCAGATTACGTCTGGTTGGAGGGGACCTCCCATGCCGTTCGCCTAGATGGAAAGGGAGACAACTGGTACCACTGGAGCCAGTGTGCGGTCGGGAAAAACACCTGCGAGGACCCTGGACGACATCAGGACAGAGTTGGCCCTCGTCGCGAGGACCCTGGACGACATCAGAACAGATCTGGCTCTCGTCAAGGCAGTCGACCCAGGAGGCGCCATCAGCGGGCCGGAGGAGGAGGATCAGGACATCTCTCCAGCATCGACCCGGAAGCCGCCATCAGCGGGCCGGGGGAGGACAATCAGGCCACATCTCTCTAGCAGGCACCCCAGAAGCCGCCGTCAGCGGGCTGGGGGGACGAATATATGGCAAACCAAGACGGCACAGGGAACTCTATTTCCCGCTGAAACAGGTTGATATAGCCGGTGTGGAACTTTGTCTGAACAATCCATTTTTTTTTTTTTTTTTTTTGAGGAACTTTCAACTTTATTTTTATATCCCATAATGTAAGGGATTTGTATTTTTTATTCTACAGAACTATGTGTTACCAAAAGAGGGAAAAGTATGATAATGTCTTTTCTGATTTCTGTGGCTACTTTTATTGCCATTTTGGTGACATGTGGTTGTTGTTGTGTGCCTTGTATCTGCTCATTGTGTGTTAAGACTCATCAGTTCCACCATTGAGGGAAGAGTAAAGATGACTCAGCTGACAAGGACTTTGCTTTTTAGACATATTTTATTCTCCCTCCACTGTCATAATAAGTTGTTGTTCAAATGCTATATGTTGATCTCGTGAGGTGAGATCAAAAGAGGGATTGAAGTAAAAAGATATGATTCTACACTGTATTGAAGTAAACATATATTGTTTGAACGGGTTTTGATAATCACTTAGAAAAAGAATGTTATTCTCACTTTTAAATTCACTGACTTAGAGATTCTGTGTTTCACACACCAACATTGATCCTTATCACCACTAAGAGCCAGATGCTGTTTCTAAGTCGTTAAAGACATCGTAAAATAGGAAAAGATCCCCTGGAAAAGGTAGGGAGGGGAGATCGGGACGGAGATAAGAATTGACTTTTGACCTTAGGGGACTTTGGAATTTCAAGTCCTGGAGAGAACTATTGAACCCGGCCAGAAGCGAATCCAGCCAATCAGGACACTTGGAGGAGGTGGTCAGTTTAAACAGCTCCTCCCCAGGGCTTCTCTGATTCGCTTGGGAGAAAAGTGGGAAGGAAGAATCGACAAATCTCCGCCCCAAAGACAGATAGAAATACTGACGTTTGTGTGTGTAAAATTGCTTTTGGGTTTGGTGAGTTTGTTGGTCCTGATATCTGTGTCCGCATCGAATCACAAACTTGAAGTCCAATTTCTTCTCGTTTGATGAGTTTGTCTGGTCCCGATGCATTTATCCGCATCGCATCACAAATCTAAAAGTCCGGGGTACTCGAGTACTCTGTATAACTTGTATATGTGTTTGGTTTCCTACTAGAAGTAAACTCAGATAATTTGTTATAACTTTGATTCCGGTGTTTTCAATTCCTTTCTTAATTTAATAGAGATCCAGCCTCATCCAACGAACGGCGCGTAGCAGAGGTATTCTACTCCAACAATATATAGATATATACACAAACTAATTGTGCAGACCCTATCCCTCCGTAGTCTTTCAAGTAGGAGGAGAAATGCCAGCGTTCTCCTCCGGTTTACAGGCACTGTGTAAATTATATATATAGAATAATTATGATGATGAATGCATTTTTTTACCACTAAAATACAGCAACACATCTTTGATTCATGTCGTTTATAACTGGAATATTACAGTTATTATTAACTTTGTCTGTACAAAGTAGCCTGTCCAGGAAATATGCCCAAATCAACAAAAACTGCGAGCCGGCAGGCAAGACGCTCCGCTTCTGAAATGCTTCTGAAACGCGCCTGGTAGGGTATGACGCCGGAGGAGGCCGGACCAAAACCGCAACGCGGCGCAGACGGACCCGGTGGAATCTAGGGGTGACTCTACCAACATGCTTTCATGATTCTGTTTAGAAGTATAAGCCATGATAGCTTATTTTATTAACACGCTAATTTGATATGAAAATCAATGGAGGTTGAGTTAACTTTGTAGGAAAACCTACCGTCCATGACTGAGCTGTGTTTTATTTGTTAACTTCATATTTTTCATTTCCTAAAACATTTATTTTCCTCTCATATTAACAGTGTGGATCATTGAGACAGCGTGGTGTCCAGAGTCTTATCCCGTTTTTCCACTTCCTCTGAGGGGACAGCATCAGATCCACGGAGGGGGGGCATGAAGAGAGACCTGCACCATCTTCATCCACGCTGGTGTTGCTGTTATCACTTGCTCAGTGTAATTTCATTTGACCAAATGTCTTTACATTTAATAGATTTTATTATCATCCACCTTTTTGTTTTATGTCCTTTTATTTAAAACATTCTTTGAGACTTCATCTTCTGGTTCAAATTTCAATAAATGTAATGTGTATAATCACTCTTTTGTCTTTATTCTACATGAAAATGTTAGAGATTCCATTCAAATCTGTTGATTATTCATATCTTCCTCAGGCTAGGAATAGTATGTCGAGTTTTTAATGCTAAATGTATATCATTTTCTCACAGGATATAGAAGGAGACAACACAGTTTTTATCCATTGTGTATGAATGCTTCAGCTCTTCAGACCAACATAGTAAGATGTGAGCATGTTCCTAATTGTGTTGGTATGCAACCTGTGAAATGTAACATGTCTTTGAAAAAATAATAGTATGCAGTTTATATTGTGTATCACCTTTACAGTAGCTTGAAAATACATAGATGTGTTTTTTTAATCTATAAAATAAATAAATAGACAGACAGACACTTTATCAATCCCAAATTGTGAAACTATTTAACAGCAGTGTGTTCAGGTATTAAAATATTTAAAGTTGGAATAAAGTATAAACTACACAACACAAGTATAATCCACAGCAATCCATAAGATAAATCCGATATGTTCATGAAACTCCTCAGGAGGCACCAACACTAACGTGGCCGAGTGGACAGTATGATCTGTGGTGTAGTGGGCTGTCACTCAAAAACTGAGTAGCCAATGGGGACACAAAAAATGAGGGAGCGTAAACCAGAAGAGCTGCAGCGAGAGCAAAAGTCTGATCATTGAGAAAGAAGAAACAAGAACTGCAAACAAAAATATATGTGAAAACAAAGAAAAAATACTTATAGTTTACATGATTACACAAATGATTTGTCTGCAACTTATAGTTTTATTTTTTAAATGTATTTTATTTTTTTAACTTTTTTTAAAATGTAAAACTCATAGTTTTGCTTTATTCTGAGAAAGTGTTGCTTTATCTTTATGATACAAAACTATTCCCATACTTCTCTCTCTGTCTCTCTCGATGTGCTGGTGAAGACTCAGATATCCACAAGGTCGCTGCTCTCTTTGAGCCACCTTTGGGGAAACATTTGAATATTGAAATTCAGATGTCAAAGA